AACAACTCACTGTCCTTTACTCCAGGAAGGTCGTCCTGGTCAAGAGTCACGACACTCTTGTTCATCTGATACCTAGTGTCGCCTAGCAACAGTTGCCAAGGCGACAGCGAATGTATGGAGGACTGTAGTAGGAATGGCTCGTCAAAAAAGACGACATCAGTGGGCTGAAACTAAACAGAGGGAGAGAGAATATAATAAATAACACTACTGTTAATGTACACATAAAACTCCATACTTTCATGTTCATTATTTTGTGACTAACTCTTAGCGGAGTAACTGTCTCAACCATCAACATCTCCTCCTATGAATAGTAAACACACACATCACATGTAAAAATAAATAAAATACATGCACATGTACATCACATGTAAAATACATGTGCATGTACGTCACATGTAAAATACATGTGCATGTACGTCACATGTAAAATACATGTACATGTACATTTATAAATAAAATACATGCACATGTACGTCACATGTAAAATACATGTACATGTGCATTTATAAATAAAATACATGCACATGTACGTCACATGTAAAATACATGTACATGTGCATTTATAAATAAAATACATGCACATGTACGTCACATGTAAAATACATGTACATGTGCATTTATAAATAAAATACATGCACATGTACGTCACATGTAAAATACATGTACATGTGCATTTATAAATAAAATACATGCACATGTACGTCACATGTAAAATACATGTACATGTGCATTTATAAATAAAATACATGCACATGTACGTCACATGTAAAATACATGTACATGTGCATTTATAAATAAAATACATGCACATGTACGTCACATGTAAAATACATGTACATGTACATTTATAAATAAAATACATGCACATGTACGTCACATGTAAAATACATGTACATGTGCATTTATAAATAAAATACATGCACATGTACGTCACATGTAAAATACATGTACATGTGCATTTATAAATAAAATACATGCACATGTACGTCACATGTAAAATACATGTACATGTGCATTTATAAATAAAATACATGCACATGTACGTCACATGTAAAATACATGTACATGTACATTTATAAATAAAATACATGCACATGTACGTCACATGTAAAATACATGTACATGTACATTTATAAATAAAATACATGCACATGTACATCACATGTAAAATACATGTACATGTACATTTATAAATAAAATACATGCACATGTACGTCACATGTAAAATACATGTACATGTACATTTATAAATAAAATACATGCACATGTACGTCACATGTAAAATACATGTACATGTACATTTATAAATAAAATACATGCACATGTACATCACATGTAAAATACATGTACATGTACATTTATAAATAAAATACATGCACATGTACGTCACATGTAAAATACATGTACATGTACATTTATAAATAAAATACATGCACATGTACGTCACATGTAAAATACATGTACATGTACATTTATAAATAAAATACATGTAAGCGTGTTACTGTTACACTTGCCTTTAAACACATGCAGTTTACTGGGTCCCAGTCATCTCTCACTGGAGTGTCAACATTATAAGATAACTATTAATAATGGTTAATTAACCAAGCCACACCCA